TAAATCTTTATAAAGCTGATCAAAAAACCAAACTACTGTATTGCATTACTTCTGTCAATACACCTCTTTTATAAAGCTATAAGACTTGACCGCGGTGCTCAGAGCAAGTTCACCGCGTAGGAGTATTCGATAAATCGTACTTGCACTCCATTCTCGTAATCAGGCTCTCTGGTCGTATCTTCAACAAACGAATACGTCTTCATCCAGGAATATCCTGTTCACTGAGCCCTTATGCGTGTCCAAATGAAACTGCCGGGTCGTATGTTGCACCTGTTTTCCAAGCCCTAACTGGCGATGGCGTAAATTCGACTTGCCGAAGACAGCCAGACGTGATAAAAGCCACCTCCGAGTCTTTGTGTACTTGTGATCATCAATCTTAGTTGATTTGCTTATCTTTTGCTGCTTGCCATGTATCCAACTGAATCAGTCATGATGAATATCCTCTCAGCTACAACTATGAACGCTAGCCAGACGGAACTCGTACTTGCACTTGTTACGGCTGCTATCATGACTGATCTAGCCGGTCTCGATGATGTCCCGGATGGTACTTCTCCACGCGTGATGATCCATGACAGCAGACCTAAACAGTTCAACCCGTTCTCTTCGTCAGCGTCGGAGACCGAATACCAAAGCTCCAAGAACCACTTCTATGTCCTAACGGGCTGAGTCGGGCGAGGTTTTGAACTGACCCCTCTTCGGCGTATCCAATTAGGTAACAGTTATGGGTCTAGGGTCGGATATTGGAACGGTTTTCAGTTAAGTTTAGCTGAGAAGTAAACTGACTCTCGGGTATGAAGAATAAGCAGTCGCAGACCAGCAGCGACAATGCTATCAGGGTGCGGTGGTCTGAGGTCTGGTACGCCAAAAGCCTATAAAATTTCGCAATGCCTGATGACGGCACTGTGACGTAGCGACCGTGAACCGCCATTGAATAAGTTTGCTTGCCACCGCTGCCCCATGGTTAGTTTTTTGAGCCAAAGCGCTAGAGGAGACAACCTCGAACAAACAATCCGAGCGGCTTTTGGGGACCCGCTCGTACCCTTTATTCCGAGGAAACCCCATGAACTAACCAAGTGGAAGCATTTGCCTGGAGCCAACTTTTTATGACAACCAAAAAAGAATAATTAGCGAGTCACACCAGTTTTGCCCGTACATGAGCTTTAGAAAAGAGCAGTCACAGCCATTCTGACAACACATGAGGGTCTACCGCGGAGCTAGTCCATCGTCGTTAGACAATTATATAGTTTGTTAAATTTTGAATGTGATCGGTTAAGGATGAAATGTATATCGAGGCTTTGAAAGCAAATATTTCTTAAGACCAAATTGTTCATCATAGCGAATTTGGCAAGGCCCTCACCAGCTTTTGCACTGTGTAGTGTTCGAGCAACAAATTAATGCACACATAGCGCATCTCTATTCCAACGTTTCAGTCCTCCGAAATGTGGATGCACATGGTCGACGTCTGACTTTTGCATTATATATAAATGCCTCATTTTGCCTATCATTACCATCAAGGACTGAATCGCACATTTCAGGAGCACCACAAAGGCGCTCAAGCAAAGTTTCCAGTGGTCCTGCCTACTCGCGCATAGTTGAAGCTCTGACCTATTCACTCGGAGC